TTTTTTTTATGTTTGGGCTCTAATCAACAGAAGTGACAGAATATTTACTACATATGGACAAGTTTGCAGTGACCCAGTTTCACTCTGGCCCTGGCTGTACTTTGTACTAAGGAGTAATGAAAGGCAAAGTAACTTGTCCAATTTCATGTTGTCATCCCTGAAAGGCAGTGTTAACTGTTATGTCACATGAGTTTTATGCAAGGTTTGCTGTACTCATTTGCATCTTCCAAAGCACATATTATTCCTGACTTCAGTACAGATTTGTCAGCTGTCCACCCGACCTTACTAAATATATGTCAGCTACACTCTGATAAAGTAGAAGTAGCTTAAAAACTTTGTCAGAATGGTAGAAAAATATAGTGTGTGGCTCATACTTATTGTTTAGAATCCATAACCTGAAGGTTATAAAATCTATTTCAGCCCTAGGCAGTATTTTCTTTGTCACTCACTACTGGTAGGGAAGGGAGAGGGAAAGAATTACTGTCTAGAAGAACAGATTTTTTTTTTCTTTTTTTTCCAGAAAACCAAGGCTAATAATACTTAAGTATAGATCACAAAGCTCATGTCTTCTTCATTGGAATTCCTCCAAGGGATAGGAGTTTGCCTAACCTAATCAAAATATCAACTTGCAACCAAAAAAAAAGTATAAAAAATAGAAAATCTTGAATGCCATTTTCAGAGATGATTACTCTTAATAAGTTGTTTATGTCATATTCTGTCTTTTCAAAGAGAAATATTGAAGAGTTTTTTCCTGTTTCTTGGATATGCTTTATCTGGTTTTACAGTGGAATGGAAAATTAAGTCTAGAAGGTACATGAATATGTTTGGTTGTTTATTTTTTTTAATTTAGTGAAGCATACCTTGAAGTAATTTAAAAAGAATATATGGATATTTCTACCAGAGGCTGGTAAAGCAAGACAGAAAAAGAAGGAATTGGTGTTTCACCAGCCTGAATACTGATTTACCAGACTTCACTTTTGGAATGAATAAATTTTCCCAAACACAAAATTAGCAATTGGATAGTTTTAAATATGAGTCAATTTTTCAGTTTTGCCTACAGAGTTACTCATGTGCTAATGCAAACCTCTCTAAAATCCTGAAGACTATGAACAGGATTTTATAGCACAGCAGTACTACTGCCTTTCAAGTCTTTAAAGTATTAATCGCACTTCAGATCTCACATGAGGGAGAGCCATACCCTTTGCAATGACTGTATCATGAATAGTTTGTTACAAGACTCTTAGCTTTTTCTTACCTAAATTCAGAAACCTAGGCAATTATTGATTTTCCATACTAAAATATGACTAGATATTTTATGATAGTCCTCAAGTTTGTGTTAGAATACCAGTCTTCTTCCCATGTGCATGCAGGACGATGTGGGAGAAGAGTGTACCCAAGAAAAGAGAAGGTGGATGCAAACCTCTCCAGAGAAGACCCCAGAGCCTAGGAGTACTGAACAGTGTTTTTCTTTCTTCTTTTAAGACAGCAGTTGTTTTGGTGAGAGGGGAGGAACGGAGGTTGACCGACCTTTTTGCAGGAATCTCTCATCTTCTTCTGCAGGACAGTCACACCAATATCTTGAGATTATATTGGTGCAGCAGCAGATGATACAAAAGGCACCTCTTCTCCTGTCCTAAATCCTTTGGTTCTACCATTGCAGTTGTGCCAGCACTAACATTTGCATGACAGCAGTGTGTCAGTTCAAGGAGCTGATAGGTTTTCTGACAATGATAATTAAAACTGGTTTTAATTCATTTAATTAGGCTCTTCTTTTGTGATTTATGCTTCATGCTATATCAATATTCAAAGTTATCATCAATAAAAACCTACTCTAAGTGTGGTACTTCTGAGCACTGTAAATTAACCTTACAGAAAATAGCAAGATTTAAAAAAAAAAAAACAACAAACACATAGAAGTGTAAATAAACAAGCCCTCTGTTTTAAGAAATATGTCCAGCATAATTTTAAACACCAGCAGTATCTTCAGTTCAGTTCAAATTGATATAAGTTCCCCCACCATCAACCTCAGACAACAATCATTGGAGTTCTTTTTTTTTTTATAACTTTTTCCTTTAGTTCATTTGGCCATCAACAAATGGATGTGTGTATTAAGAAAGAAAAAGAAAAGCATATTTTGAGATCTAAGTCCAAACTCACCCAGCAAAATGTTAAGGGGAATTTTAAAAGCAGGGACAAAACACTTAAGGGCTTTGAAAAACAGAATCACAGAATCGCAAGGGTTGGAAGGGACCTCGGGAGATCATCTAGTCCAACCCTCCTGCTAAAGCAGGTTCTCCTAGACCGTGTTACACAGCACATCATCCAGGCAGGGTTTGAATATCTCCAGAGAAGGAGACTCCACAACCCCCCTGGGCAGCCTGTTCCAGTGCTCCATCACCCTCAGAGTAAAGTTTTCCTCATAATCAACTGAAACCTCTTATGTTTCAGTTTGTGCCCATTGCCCCTTGTCCTGTCACTGAGCACCACTGCAAAGAGTCTGGCTCCGTCCTCCTGACTTCCACCCTTAAGATATTTGTATGTATTGATGAGGTCCCTGCTCAGTCTTCTCTTCTTCAGGGTGAACAAGCCCAACTCTCTCAGCCTTTCCTCATAGGGGAGATGCTCCAGTCCCCTAAT